AATATTTTTTTTTCAAATGTTTTTTATGGGCTCCTAGGGGGTACCTCGTGAAAGTAGTCGTCCGTTTTGCTCCATCTTGTACCGATTCGGCGCTATGGGGCATTTCTTGGCGAAAACAACGTGAAAAAGACAAAATGGTCTATTTAATCGTGTAAAAGGCTTTATGTCACAGAATTGTAAAGTGTGTAATACCTAAACCACATATTACGGGTCGAACCCGGTTCGAACCGCACCCTATTTTGGGCTTAAGGGTCCCAATGTTATCTAGTATCACTAAAACGTTGATTATTACATAACAATCTCTCAAAATTCGAACTTTTGATGAAAACCGTTACCGAACAGCAGAAGTTTCATGTCCTTAATTTTAGAGTGAGATCCCGACAAATGGTTCGAGTATGTCAAAATTTGGGCCCGGAAGGCCTTGTTCCCCTATACCCTCTCCTTAACCCGTCACGGGTGTCAGCGCATGTGTGCAAGGCACGTCGCAGCGTAACAGTGTTTCGTGAGATATCGCGAAGCCTGTCACGCGAGACGTTGTCTGGCGTACATATAGCTAGTTTTTATATTGTTTACATTTTATGCAAGTTTCCGTAAACGTCTGGGTTATTAGATGCAAATGTTTCCTGCCTGTTGTTCTCCACCTTGTTCTTCACTTCGCTAATTTCGAAAGGGTCTATTCCAGTCGATCGGTGAATGGGCAATCATTGACGGGGTGCGCCGCGTCGGCCACGGAAGCTCCGCAGGCGGGGCAGATCGGCGGCCGATCGCGAAGGATCCGGGAGAGGTGGGCCGGTGTAGCTGCACTGTAAAAAAAATTATATAGTAGATTTCCTATAAATGTACCTGCAGCAATTCACATATATATGAATGGGAATTTTCCCATACAGGCGTATGGTAATTCTACCATACGCGATAGTATAGGGTATTGGTCTAGAGCGCCGAGCGGAAGTAGAAGAACAAAAACGGAAGATGGAAATGGCTCGCGGCGCGGCGGCGCGCTCCCCCACTCCCGTCCGGGAGGGGAGGGAGCGCTGCCCGGGTGGCCGGGTGGGGGCCGGGCCGAGCGGAGCCGAGCGGAGCCGAGCCGGAGCTCGGGCCGCGCTCGGCTTCGGCTCGTGGGCGGACGTTTTGAGTATGAGAAACGTAGATGCGGTTGCGCGCGGAGGCGGTGATTGCTTCTAAACGAAATTATAAAGGATTTCCTTTTGCGTGACAGGTGAAAGGGCGAAAGCGTTCTACATTTGCGTTTGTATGTGCACCAAAATAAGTTGTGACGTATATAAATGTTAACATATCTTCAGTTTTCAAATAATTTATTTTATTCTGGCGGCTAATGCTGGCTTTGCAGCTTTGCTAGTCTTGTTTGCCCACTCATTTTTATTAGTAAACGATAGATTTAAGCGTTGTCAACTCAAAAATTTTGCACAAGTGTTAAAATTTTGTCTTTTGTTCACACTGATAAAAATACTTATGTAATAGTGAGTTGGTTTTCTGCCAAATACTGGCAATGATGATGAGAGCGAAATCCTAACCTCATCGATTTACAACTTTTCAAAGAAATGGAGGTCTCTCCCCATTATCATTGTCAGTTTATCACACTTGTTTGAAAGTCACATCTTAAAATATTACTTTGTGTCACTCCACAGTCAAGTTGAGCATGACATCACACATATCAGACGGTAACTTTTGCTGGTCGCACACACACATACTCACACGAGTACATAAACATCTTTACACTTAAGGGGCCGTTCACAAATTACGTCACGCATCTGACGGGGGGGAGGGGGTCTCTGCCCGCGTGACGGTCCTATCCTAAAAGCATTAGAAGGTTAGGTTAGCCGCGTGACGTGGGGGAGGGGGGGAGTCAAAACCGCCCGAAATTTGCGTGACGTAATTTGTGAACGGCCCCTAATGCCATACTGAATAAATTAATTTTTCACAGCGCTGTTTTGAGGGTTCAGTAATCCGAAGGGAAAATGAAGTATGACCACTGCGACTGTGCCCTGTTAATAGGAACGGAATTCCCTCATGTGTCAGCCGCCCTGCAGGTGAGAAACAATTATTGAAGACTTTGCTTTAATGTCACCATCACTTCAATTATCTTTCATTTATTTTTCCTTTTTAAATGCAGGCTCTCTTACATGTGCCTCATTTTCGTCATTTTTTGGCAAACGATGATGCGAAATGGTGCAAATCTCTGATAAAGTGCCTGGTTTGTCTATTTAAAAATTTAATCAAAACTGCACTGAAGAACGTGGCATCCTTAGGAGTAGCAGATGCATCATTCTTTGGGAATAAATGGAAAAGTGAGTGTAGTTCCCAGATTCTTAATCTATGTCATGTCTATTGTTGTCTTATTGTCCACTTTTGTTAAAAAATTAGGTCTGTCTTCATCAATGCGAGAAGAACAAAAGAGGGACCCACATGAAGTCCTATTGCTTTTTCTGACCAGGATGAGGACGGATGTGGTACTAAGAGACGAATTGTAAGAAAATTTTTGAGTAAATTTTTACTGTTTATTTTGGAACCATTTACTATATGATCATATTGTTTAACCTAGGAATTCAATGGAGGACTTTGCAAAATGTGCTATCACCAAATTATTCTACACTACACTGTCGACAGATGGTACGTATTTTTATCTATGATAAACATTTTATTTTTATGCCCTGACTTATGCTTTATTGTTGTTGTTGCAGTGTCATGCTGTTGTTGTGGAAACTTTCAAAAAAATAAGTACTCCCTGAGTTTGTGCATTGAAAACTTCAGTGAAGACTTATCAGAGGACATAAAGTCTCTAATTTATTCAGAAACAATAGAGAAATGCCTTTTATGTCACCAATATGAAGCCACACTTAAAACTCACTCTGTAACTTTACCTAGTGTATTAATTATCCATTCCAAAAAGTAAGTTTGTGTGCCCTTCATATTGGAAATCAACTAATTAACTTCCAACTTTTCCCTGCATAGTGAAAAACATTTACTATTCCTGTTTTGGTTCATAGGTCTAGCCCAAACTTCAGATGGAAGAATCAACTGACCATTGCAGGTAAAACCTTTGAGTTTTTGAGTTGCATTGTAGATGGTAGTGGTCACCCATTCTATGTGAACATGTGTCCAGATGGGAAGCTAAGGATGTTTAAGGATATCAAGGTAAGGTGAAACAATTATGCAATTAAAATTTTGCTACAGTACAGTTTCGTAGCTATTGAAATGTTGCTCTTTACTTCTGAGAATGTTGAAATTACAAAACTATGATCACTTCAAAAATTTAACTTGTCAGTAATGTTAGAAAACATTAAGAAAACTTAAATTATCATAATTATTAACTATGAAATTTCTTTTCTAAGGTGTCTGTAATATCGCCTGGTAGATTTGCACTGTCAGAGTACTTGGTTGAAGCCAAGTTAACACTACTGTACATCAAAAAGAAAAATGTAAGTATGTAATTTCTGACTAGGTTTTGAACAAAATTTGGTCACTAATCCAATATGTACACATAACTTTGCAGACTGCAGAAAAATTGCAACCTTATCAAGGTGAAAGACTTCAAGCTCACTGCAGCCAAAGCAGGACACATGGAGTTAATAAATTTAAGGTGGGTAGAAACAGCACATGGTGTAAATGCATGTCTTCCGTCAAGTAAATGGTCTTGGAAATATCACGGAAGGCACAGGGGATTAAGTTCAAGTGTAGTTCGCCTTGCAAAATATTCCACAGCCATATACTCCCAGTGGAACTTTTCAAGTTTTGGGTACAAGTTTGCCCATGCAGAGTGGTTGAATGAAATGGGGATGGTGAGAAGCCCCTTTTTGCTCCACACCACAAAGTCACAAAAATGCACTCCTGTCAAAGCCATCTCCATTTGCACTTGATCATAATAGATTGTGTCTTCTTTGAGCTTAATGTGTCCGTTGTAATTTCTTGTGAGATAAAAAGTTTGTAGCTTTTTTACCTTGTAGAAATGAGTCAAAATAGTTGGGATCCACATCTTGCAGGGAATATGGGCACTTAATTTCTAGCACTTTAATAACTTTTCCATCTCTAGTTATCCAGCCGTCATGGCTGCAGGACAGCCCTGGATATTTTGTGTGGAGGTTTATTCCTCCTGATACAACTTGAATTCTTGGGTCCATTTGATCTTTGAGGTATTTTTGTCGGGCTACTGGTTCATTGGTTTTTCCATAGGCCATACCTCTAGATTCTCCTCCTTTCATGTTCCACATTTGATTTTGAAGGAAATTCTTCTTAGCCGATTCGGATCTGAAATGTGCAATTCGGTGACACACAGATGAAGTACATGTGATGCTGCGTACAAATCTGTATAATGGGCTTTCAAATTGAGCAGTTGTTCCCTGTAACTAATACGGTCCGCTATGATGTTTGGGTTTCAGCTGAAGCAAATACTCGTACAGCTCCCTTCTGAGATATTTAAAAATCTGCAAGTCAATGTTGTCATAGGTGAAGTCGTTGTATTGTATTTTTAGAAGTCCCTGGAAAGCACATGGAATTTCCTTTGTCTTCTGGAGAGCTCTTAAGAAGTCATTAATCATACTTGTAGATGGTCCATTTCTATGTTGTGTTGGTCTTGGGTCAAAGGTGTTCCTTCTAATCACATCTAATTTAAATGAGTCGTATTGTCGACCAGCAGCAACTGAAGGATCTCTCTTGAGAGAACCTTTGTTCCACGTGCATGGCTTTGATGTGCAGGTGATAGCTGTGGTAGAAGCAAAGACAAGTATTAAATCCAAACCAATTCATGTTTCAACAGGCCTGTCCCTATACTTTCATACTAAATTCAAATGCTACGCAGTCATATATTTTTATCACTTTTATTTTCAAGTCTTTAATTGTTGCATTCAAATATTTTATAACGTTATAGCTACTATTTTTGGTTTTTTGTATATATATCTCTCTGAAACACTGGAAAGCAATTCTGGATTGCATTTATTGAAGTACTATTTTTAATATTACAGGTAATTAGTTCTCCAGACATTACCATGTTGGATCCTGAACCCCCAAGAAAACAAAGATCAACGCAAACCGAAGAGGTGAGAATGTCACAGATAAACCATATAATCATGATTTCAAGCATAACTTGTAAAGTGAAATAAAATGTGTTTCTTTTGTTGTCTACAGAAAATGTTTTGTGATGCATCCACACAGACAGTAAAGGAGGTTGACACAAGAAAAACTCAGAAGACTAAAGTAATTTCTTATGAGGTGTGCAAGTCAGATGATAGATTTCAGTTTTTCACTGGACTTAGTATTGATGATTTTGAAGCCCTGTTCAATCTTATTGGTGGTGATGATGCTATCAGATCTCTGAAACTGAAGTATAGTGATACCACACCTACTAAAACAATTCAGTCAACTCTGACAAGTAGAGACAGATTATTTATGATGTTACTTAGGCTCAGACGGGGATACCCTGGCGAAGAACTGGGCTTTCTCTTTGGCATTGATCCATCATATGCTTATCGTATTTGCTATGCAATGACTCAACTTGTCTACCTGACTTTCAAATCAATGCAGAAGATCATGTTTGTATCAGCTGCACACCAGAGAAAAGGTCAGCCAAAGGTTATGAAGCCTTTCAAGAATTTAAGAGTAATATTGGATGGAATGTCCATATTCCTTCAGACTCCCTCAAATTTCCAGCAGCAGGGGAACACTTATTCCAACTACAAGAAAGATAATGTGCTCCTCGTTGCTGTTGGAATCTCCTCACATGGAGCTACAATATTTTGCTCTGATGCGTATGAAGGCACCACATCTGATAAAGAAAGTATTATGAAGAGTGGACTCCTGGACATGCTAGATAAAGGTGATGGTGTTATGACAGACAGAGGATACGAGCTCACAGCAGAATTGCAGGCAAAGGGCTGTCACTTCTACAAACCGCCTTCTCTTGGAGACAGGAAAACCTTCACTGAAGAAGAAGAAACATTGACCAAGGCCATTGCGGCAGCAAGAATATATGTAGAACATGCCATTGCGGATATAAAGGACTGGAAAATTTTGCAAGGCGTTGTCCCTATCAATATGATTTCTCAGTGGTCAAATATTATATACGTTGTAGCGTTCCTCAGAAACTTTAACCCTAATAGAATTCATAATAAAAAATTTTCCCGTAGAAACCCAGAAGAAGATGAATTCATGTAGATGAGTGCAGGAATGTGTGTTTCTTAAATTGAACAAATTGTTTTTGGTTAAATATGTTTCTTTATTTTTCATAAACTGTACATTGGCGGTTGTATATTAGGAGCGAACTACTTCTACAAAGTTGACTAAAAGGAATGATTAGTATTAACCAAACTAAGGGAGGGATTGTCATGGTCATGCAAACACCTGTTAAATTTTTATTACATGTTGTAAGAAGTACTTCCAGTTATGTAAGCAAAATGTGCCTTACATAGTGCACTAGAAAGTACTACTTATTGTACCACATATACTACATGTTATCAGGAACAATTTGCCATGCAATAAAATCTAAATAAAACAATGACAATTCTATACCAATTACTGTACGTATTTATACAAGTACCCAAAACCAAACCCACTTACAAAACAACAACAACAAAATCAAATGGGAGCAATATAAGCAAAGCAGTAAACAGTTTGTGAAAAATAAGTGTTAAAATAAACAGTTTCAGTAATTATTGCCACATATGTGCTGAATATTATGATGATGGATATGATGAATAGCCAGAGGCGAATAAACTGAAAAGAGTAAAATGTACCTAAATAGAAATACAAATGATTATCACCTATTGAATGACGCAATGACATAAAACCTACTCTAAAATGAAAAATGATGAACACCTAGAATATGTACATGACAAGTAAGTGGCACCTGAACAAAGACGAATGGATTAGGATGACAAGATGAAAAGAAATCAGAATCGGCACTCAGGAAATTGACATGCAAAGTGGCATTGTCAATCGGAATGGTGTGACAACCAGCTTACAATGAGTGACACCTAAAGAAATGAAATTGATCACAATGAGTAGATGACATTGTCAATGAGGATAATGGAGTGACAGCAACATTCACTAAGAGTGAGATCTAAAGGGAATAAAATTGATTTAAATGAGTGGATGAAAAAAAATAATTATGTGCAATATATAGCCAATACAACTTTTGCTTCTTTAAACTTCACCTAAAAATGCTGAAAAAAGAAAGGAAATGTTGTTAACATAGAATGGAGACCTTACCTTTATCACCATTGAGGTGTTTGTGCTGTAAAATAAATAGCAGCAGTGCGCTGACATGGCTGCATCTACCCAGCCGGCTGGCTCTACAGTGACACTCACATCTCAGAATATTTCCTGAAATTTGTGAGACAGCTGCCTTTACCCAGTATGCTTTCAGTTCCATGGACGCCCTTACATGCGCCTTAAAGAAGTGGAATCGATCAGGTAGGCAATCAACAAATCCTCTAATATGACCACTTTTAAGAAATTGCAGTCCTCTGCGAATCTTTTTGCTCCTCAGGGCAGCTTGGTTGTTGAAATCTTCAAAAATGTCACCAATTTCTATAATTTCTTCATTATCAGAATCTGCATCCTCCTCTTCACTATTTATTAATTCATCATCTGAATTGACTGTGAGGGGATTTTCGTACTGCGGCATACTTTCCACAAGGTAAAAATATACACTACCAAAATTGAAATTGGGAGGTAAATCTCTGCTAGGAAAGGGCTCCCATCCCTTCTCTGGGAACAAAGCTGAGCTATGAAGTCGTGAAGCAGCCTAAGACAAAAAAAAAGGAAATATCACAGAAATTACACATCGACTGTGAAATTTTTTTATGAAAGCAGTAAGAACATACTGTTCCACACTTGCCTGTGTAGACATCATCTCTTTCTTTTTGTCATACCATATTCCAGCACCAGCACCTGGATCTAGAATTTTGTCCTCCCCCACATCCATACATGCCTGAACTCTGTCAAAAAGAAAGAATACATATTGTTCTTAAGACGAGATGTCTACAACTAGATTTAAACACAATACCATAATATTTAATAACCTTTTGAGTAATTCACCCTTAGTTCCATGACTTGGTACACCCCTTAACTTAAGCCAATTGCTTAAGTCCTTGATATTGTTTCTGCACAGTTCAGTATATGGTAGATCTGATCCAGGAACGTCTGTACTGGTCAATATAATACGTTTAAAGGGGAAAGCATCACGGAATTCCTGCTCATCTATCATCTGTAAATAAAGTGAGTGATAGTATTAGGAGTGTTATGGAAACAAAATAAAACCTCAAGGGAATGCATAGCATTCAATGCCAAACATACATCAGGTACATCTTCTTCCAGATATGTAATTTCTTCGGGAAAGAATGGATGCTCTGTCATGCAACCATCCTCCCCATTTTGGGAAAATAAATCATCATTATCCATTTGGGATTTTGGAGATTCATGAGCAGTGGAGTTCTACTTGAAGGAAGTTTTAATTAATTAATATCAGAAGAGGAGAATGTTCATACTTAGTAATACAAACTGAAGCTAAGTGACTTTACCTGTGAATACAATAGCATGTCATCTGGCTCAGTTGGTTCATTGATGGATAGCATAATCTGAAAATTTTCATAAAAACTATGCTGCTCCTCCTCCTCAGAGATAGTTTGCTTTCCTATTTTGATAGGTGTGATTACTGCAGTCACCGTGCTGCTGCCCTGGCTCCGAAAATCAAATACGGGTTTCATTTTTAATTTGACAGGTGAAACTACAGCAGTCACCGTGCTGCTGCCCTGGCTTACACAGTCAGATACAGGTTTCATTTCTGATTTGAAAGGTGTAACTGTAGCAGTCATCGTGCTGCTGCCCTGGCTCAAACATTCAGATGTATGTATCATTTTCAACTTGAAAGGTGTCACTATAGCAGTCACCGTGCTGCTGCCCTGGCTTACCCGCTCATCTTGCTCAGACTCCTGTTGAGAAATAATTTTCATTTAGCAATAAAAAAAGAATACTTAGTCAAGGTGAGTGCATAACTGACATTATACCTCCTGAGAACTACAAATATTTTCAAGAAGGTTAATAGAATTCACTTTCAATTTCACAGGTGTCACCTTAGCAGTGACAGTAGAATCTTGACTACCACATGTGGGAGATTCAAATTCCTAGACAAATAAATGTAACAAAATGAAGCACTAATACATTACATTTTGAGCAAGAAAAGCTAGATAAATGCAAGGCAGATAGAATGCAGACTTACAGCATCCTTCAATGAATTGGATTTTCTTCTTCGATTATTGAAAGTCACAGTAAGGGAACCAACAGCACAACTGTCCACAGCAGTTTTAGTAATCTGAACACATAAAAAAATTGATTAAATTTATAACATGCTCCGCTCTTGAACAAGTGGAATTGAAAGTAGTCAAACGTACAAGCTCTTCTTCTGTTGGGCTCTCATTGTTCTGAAGAGGCTGTCAAAAACATGAAATATATTCATAAAATGGAAAATTTTAGGATAAGTGACATTGATTGCTGCAATCAAAATAATATCAAGTAATTACTGGACAGCAGTAGGCTAACTTTAAATACTTGCCTTTGCCAGAAAAGAGTCAATGTCTTTAGTTCTTCCATGTAACCCCAACAGCTTAGGAAATTTTCTTTTCTTAGGGGAAAACGTGTTACTTGCTTTGAAAACGTTCTTTTCAAAAGGGATTCTCCTCCGTGGGCTGTTATGAATTTTATGATATTGGCCTGAAATTTCTTGTGAAATGGACTCTTGCAAGAAGGACTTTTATCAAGAGGTCTTTTCATAGTCCCAGTCTGAAAACAAAGACAGGCATGTACATTCTACATCTTTTAAAACCAGTTGAAAAAGTGTGTACCTACTACTTCACTCTGCAGCTGGAAGAACGCAACATAGACTCCACGTTGGATTAATGGACTCTCCAACCCACTCCACTTTTCTGTGATCTATGCAAAATCAAGAATAAAATAAGGCAGTCAGCAAGTACATTCAGTATGATGGAAATTGGTAAATCTTACTTCAGAGTCATTGAAGAGAGTGAGAGTCCCATTAGGACATGATGTAAGGGCAAGAAAGTGGCCCCCAGATCCCAGCTGAGTGTGGACAACGCATGATAGAAATTTGTACTTGGCATCACCAACTGTTAACCTATTATTTAAAATGACAGGGAGGGAAATTCTTTCTCCCCTATCATTGAATCTGTGGGAAAAATTGACATGTACTGAAAGGACAACATATGTATCTGATTTGATAAAACTAAAATCTTAATTGCACCAACCTTTTCAGAACTACTTTCAAAACTTTTGGATGGGAGTGCACCCTTGTACTCCTGTAACAAGAAGTATTCTTGCAACCCTTGGAACAGGAAAATTCCCCAATGACTTCTGGCTGTGTGAGTAGTTTGTCCACAGCAACCTGAATGGACAACTCACAGGTCAGGAATAAGTCACTGATTGGGTTGTATGTGATTGCTTGGTGCTTGCATGACTGGCATTCATCTACCATACAAAAAAAGGACAAAATTTCAATCACATTATATCTCATGGTCATAAGGATTTAAATTTGGAACATTCCCAAATTTACCAGTGGTCTGATGCCATCCACCAAAAATTTCACCCATGGCTGTAGTTTGCTCAGTGCAAAAGTCTGGCCTGATAAAACAATAAAAGAAATAAAAGAAAATGATATGTAAAAGGGAAATATTTCTTTACTTTTAATGTGCATGATTATAAAAAATTAACTTACTGGAGACCCTTCAGCGTTACTCTTTTGAGTAGGTCCGTCTGGATGGTTTGGTGAACATTTGTAAGAAACTCCTGGGCATCCTCCTCATTCCCCACCTTAAGCTTACCTTTGCAGATTTCTTCAAATATGTCATGAGAAAATTTTTGTAATTACATTTTTAAAGATGGATACAAGTACAACTTTGTAAAAAGTACTCACTGTACAGTAGGCTCACAATTCCAACTGGGCGGAATACCTCCTGCGAACGCATGTTCACCAGTGTCCTGTACAATGTACAAATAACACAACCAAGCAGGCTGCGACACTCTTTCCGATGTTGCCTGTCCCCCTCCAGAAAGTCCACAAATGCTGGTACATGAAACAGCGCCTGAAAACAATTTTTAAAAACACATAATTAACATATATAAAAAGAAAGAGAAGAACTAGCACAAACATTTGTACCTGAAGAGATGAATTTATGTAGCAGGT